GAGAGAGCAAGAAGGTCTCCCCTCAGCCTCCTCTTCTCCAGGCTGAACACCCCCAGCTCCCTCAGCCTCTCCTCATAAGACTTATTCTCCAGACCCCTCACCATCTTTGTTGCCCTTCTCTGGACCCGCTCCAGCACCTCAATGTCTTTTTTATGGTAGGGGGCCCAAAACTGGACACAGTACTCAAGGTGAGGCCTCACCAGTGCCCAGTACAGGGGGACGATCACCTCTCGGGCCCTACTCCCCACGCTGTTCCTGACACAGGCCAGGATGCTGGTGGCCTTCTTGGCCACCTGGAGGCCACCAGGTCAGTCCTTAACCTGGAGCACACTAATCTCTGCTGCCCAGCTCAGACCACGTATACATGCTGCGTGACAGGTCTGCCAGAGGTTAAGCTACACGTAGTGATCCAACACCTACAAAGGTCCTGTTTTTCCAGCAACCAGTCTCAACTTATCAGCATGAGAGCAACGATGCCACAGGATAGCTGAGCAGTGACCAAAAGCACAAGTCAAGGTGGCTGAGACTAAAATGAGGAGACGCTTGGGAGATGAAAAGGATTAAATGTCTGGATGGGCTCCTTTTGCTCAGCAGTCACCAGCACTCACGTTTTAAATCCATCACGTTCACGAGATCAGAGTTTGGCAGCGTGAAGGTCTCTGAGGAAGGGAGAGGCACGATCTTCGAGTCAAAGAGGAGCTCGCTGTGGCAGTTTTGGGTGCGCAGCCCCGTGAGGAAAGGAGTCCCCATCCCTGGCTGTGTTTAAGGGCCGTTTAGATGCAGGGCTGAGGGACATGGTGTAGGGGAGGACTTTGTAGAGTAGGGGAGATGGTTGGACTCGATGATCCCAAGGGTCTCTTCCAACCTCAATGATTCTATGATTCTATGAAAAGGTCTGGATGGGCCCCTTTTGCTCAGCAGTCACCAGCACTCACGCTTTAAATCCATCACGTTCACGAGATCAGAGTTTGGCAGCGTGAAGTTCTCTGAGGAAGGGAGAGGCACGATCTTCGAGTCAAAGAGGAGCTCACTGTGGCAGTTTTGGGTGCGCAGCCCCGTGAGGAAAATGCCAGCTGTGCTGCACTCATCGAAAGACGCGGCTGTTTTCTGGAACATGGGATCAATCTACAGGTATGGAATGAAGAGAAACAAGGAATGAAGTAAATGGAGGGGGTGAAGCAGGTCTCTGCAGGAGACTTTTAAGCAGAGATCTGAAGAGTAAATGACCCACGCGTCTTTTTCCAGTGAGGAGAGAGCTCTCACAGCTGCCTCATGCAGGAAGAGTATACGTGACTAGGAACAATCTTGCCCTAATAGCTGATTTCCCAGAATATTAGAGCCCAAAAGAGGAATGCACAATAAGGAAAACAATAGAAATGAGAAAGATGAGGCTCCATCTCCTTTCCTCCACCAGAACACAGCTGCTCCAGCAGCCCCCCTCCACCCACCTCACATCTGCGATTCGCCTCCGACACGTTGATGTTATTCAAGTTCTGCTCGATGGTTTTGAACGAGTGCTTTTTCTTTGTCTGAACTTTCTTGACAGGCTCAAGATCTGAACGGTCCTCTGAAAGGAAAAGAAGAACAAGTTACACTTAGGAAAACTTGCTAAAATACCCTACGGGGGGGACAGCACACCCTTTACTTCAGTTTGTACAACACAAAAACCCTGAGGGCATGAAGTTACCCAATTAGGTATCTATTAGCACGAAGCACCAACGTTTCATTAGCTGGATGCTGTGTTTCTTTTTATCAACTGCTTTATCTTAACAGCACATTTTTGTTTCAAAGCAAAGGCTGGCAAAGAGTGAGGCACTTCATTCTTAATGTTCCAGATGAGGCCAGATTCAAATCTGACGGGCCAAATCGCAACAGATTCAGGTTCTTATCTCAAACCCTCCCTGCTCAACGCCCAAGAAAATTGATTCGGGATTTCCCAGCCCTTGAAAAACACAGTTTTTCACAGCTCTCTTAGATGTACGAAGGGCTTCAAAATTCATGGGTGCTAGGTAACTACCCCGACTTTCTCTTACTCAGAGGTGGGAGGGGAAGAGCTTAACAGAACGGAGTGAATGGCCCACCTCCTCCTGGGCTGTCCACGTTTTTTGTGGGTGAGGAGTCCCTGCCCAAGCCCCCGAGAACTTTGTAGGCATCAGCATGGACCGCATCCACACGCACGGCGTAGATCTTGGCGCTGGCATCAAGCGTGCCAGTCCACGTTCTTCGTGGGTGAGGAGTCCCTGCCCAAGCCCCCGAGAACTTTGTAGGCATCAGCATGGACCGCATCCACACGCACGGCGTAGATCTTGGCGCTGGCATCAAGCGTGCCAGCTGCTATCTGACAGGAGGAACAAAGGACGCAATTTCTAGTTAGAAAGGGAAAAAAGCCTCATCTAGAAGATGCAAACGCAGACGACAAGCTGCAGACCTGACTTTCTGAATGCTCTGTATTACAAGCAAAATTGTGAATAACTGGAAAAGGGTTTATTCTGAAATCTACTGGGGCCTAGGTGCACAGCACAGGTCAAGACGTGCCTTTCCCTGCATTATCAGGTCTTTTGGAAAGGATCACACAGAAGACACTTAAAAAGTTGCCAAAAGTAAGCAATGGGGAGAAGCAGAAAGGTCCAGATTTGCGTCTGCCAAGACAGGCCTCTCCTCCACCTCTCCTTCATGCCACCTTCTGGGTCATCCTCTTGGTATCTACTTTCTCAAATTAAGAAGTCAAAAGAGGTGAAGCACAGGTGATGCCAAGTGCCCTTTTCCATCACAGATACCCCCTGGAAGGCGAAGGATCACCCACTGAAAACCTGTGCGCTGTTTCCTGTCCCTTCCTCAATTTCATCAACCTTAAGACAGCTACCTCAGGGGTTCCTCGAGGCCCTGTTTCTTTGTTCATTCAGCCAAGAATTCAATTTTCCCTCCTAGCATCAGTGAATTATTACAGCAAGTAAGTCTTTGCCCTGGCAAGTTCTTATTCTGATCCATCCCAGATCAAAATTAGTCCAGGAGCCAGCCACACTAACTTACTTTCTTTTACAGCCTTGTTTTGTTACTGGATGTAACACCCAGTATTTACCTAGGAAGCCTCACAAGTCTTACTTTTAAACAAGCTTCCCTTTTGAAGGACCATAACGGAAAGAATTCAGCTTTAATTTCTGTGGTCCAAAAGGATTCAACACCTTAAGTTTCTGCAAAATTGACTGTGCTGCCTCTACAAGGTATTTTGAGTGGAAGTAACCAGCTCTGTTACCTTCACAATATTTGAGGTTTGTTAGTTGTTAAACCTTAGGCTAAATGCCAGTCAGAAACCAAGCACCACCACGACCAGGCAGCAATTCCTCTCACCTTGAAGTTGGTCAGTTCAGAGTCCTTCTGTTTCAGGATCTCGGTCATATAGTCGATGAGGTGTAAACCAAAGGCATTCTTCGTGGTGATTTTCTGAAACAAAGCTCACAGCTCAGAACTGATCCCCCGGCAAATGACACCTGCCCAAACCCTCATCCCATGGGGGTATTTACAGCAGGACCCAGGGGATAGGACGGATATTAGGAAAAATTTCTTCACTTGAAAAGGTTGCCAAGCATTGGAACAGGCTGCTCAGGGAAGGGGTTGAATCACCATCCTTGGAGGTATTTAAAAGACGGGTGGATGTAGTACCGAGGGACATGGTTTAGTGGTGGTTTGGGCAGTGTTAGGTTGATGGTTGGAGTTGATGACCTTAAAGCTTCTTTCTAGCTTAGACAATTCTATGATACAACCTATTATCATCCACAATTCTGTAGCACATCCTACTCTGTCACTGCTGGGAAGGAGGCAGCAACAAGAAGCCCAGATCCGGACATGGCTTGGATCAGGGAAGTGCCTCAGAGGGCTCGAAAGAAGAATAACCTCCTAGCCAAGGCTCGAGGAGTTTAAAATCCCTCCCGGCCTTGCAAGCAGGGCCAGCCCGAGGTGGTGTGAGCGGGGCCGGGATGAGGAGGCCTCCCGGGGGGGGGGGTCGACTCACGTTCTCGGTGGAAAGCTTGATGCAGGTGCTGTAATGATCCGAGATCTGAGCGTTGGTCCACTGCGGAAGGGCCGGCTGCCATGCCTCCGCCTGCCTGGGGGAGACACGGTGCTTTGGGGACCCTCCTCCTCCTCCTCTTCCTCCCCACAGCCCCTCACGCCGGGCCCGGCCTTACCTGGGTGAAGCGAGGCCCAGCGGCGAGTCGGTGCTGCTGAGCTGGAGGTCGGTGACCCTGGATCGCCTCCGTTGCCGCCTCTCCCGTTCATCGTCGTTCCCGGGGCACTCGGCCAGCACGGGGGTGCCGGTGCTACCGAGGGCCCGCGGGGCGGGGGAGGCGGCCGGGCCCCAGCGGGGTGTCAGGACGCTCATCCTGAGGGGACGAGACCGGGCCGGGCCTCGCCGCCTCAGGCCCGCCGCCGCTGAGGCCCCGCCCACTCCCTCACCCCACGGAGCCAATCGGCGAGCGTCTCGCCGGGCCGTTGACCAATCGGAAGCGCGCAGCACCGCCCCCGCCGGGTTTGAACCGCCGGCAGCGCGCACGCGCCGGGCGCAACGGTCGCTGCCTGAGGGGCGGGATGGGGGCCCCTCAGTCGGTCGGCGGCGGGCGGAGGGGAGGGATGCGCTGCCCGCCGCTCCTGTCAGGCGCCGCCCGCCCGTGGGGCAGCCGCCTTCCCGTCTCGCTGGCCCCGGGTTGAACCCCGAAGGGTGCCCCGGGCCCCTCTCGCAGCGGTCAGCCGCGGGCAAAACCCGCCCCGGAGGAGGAAGAGCCGACAGAGCCGACCTGCTTAGGTACTGACCGCCCCCCCCAAGTCGCCGTCTGCCTTTCAGGGGTAGTATTGGCCCTTCCATGGCCTCTGTTTGCCTCTCGTTGTTCCCCCGGAGCCCTGGCTGTGTGGAAGTGCCCCCGGGGCCGTCTGCCTGACCCTTCAGTTTGCTCTGTGAGGTCCCACCAAGGACTCCGGGTGCCTTCTGGTGGTCCCTCAGCTGCTCTGTGCACTGTTTGGTGTTCCCCAGAGCTTTCTGTCTTCATTTCTGTGCACTCTATGCCCCTGCAGGGGTGTTTTGGTGTGAGTAAGCCCCTGGTGTACTGTGAAGCCTGCCCTTCAGCACTCTGTGGGTTTTTGGGTACAGTAGAGGGTTGGTGGAGGGTCTTTGGGCTTTACAGTCTCAGGCTGGGCAGCACCCAGCACCTCAGATGGCAGCCCGTGATGTGGGCTAGCAGATGGCCTGGGACATCTCCCCAGTTTAAGCTTTGGAGCCCTCCATCATGCCCAGTGCAGCATCATGGAATGGTTTGGGTAGGAAGAGACCTTGAGGCCCATCCAGTGCCACCCCTTGCCCTGGGCAGGGACACTTCCCACCAGCCCAGGTTGCTCCAAGCCCCCTCCAACCTGCCCTTGAACCCCTCCAGGGATGGGGCAGCCACAGCTGCTCTGGGCAACCTGGGCCAGGCTCTCACCACCCTCACCCCACAGAAGTTCTTCCCCACATCTCAGCTCAATATCCCCTCTTTCAGGTTAAAACCATTTCCCTTCGTCCTGTCAATGCTCTACTAGAGTGGGAGCAGGTTGCAGCTCTTGCTTTCACTGCAGTGCTGGAGGCAGAGGGAACTGGTAAGTGAGAAGACAATAATGCTTCCTAAAACCATTCCCTTCTGCTCTTGGTCCGACCCCAGGCAGTCTGCGTTTGTCTGCAGGACCTGAGAAGAAAGGAAGGCTCCCCCATATCCCCACCTCAGCTTTTCACTTGTCTCCCCAGTTCTCAGCACATGAGCCCAGGTTATCTGTATTGTTTTGTTTTCCCTGTGCTTCCTAGCAGGAAAGGTTTGCTGGGAAAAGCTCTTGCTCCTCAAATTTCCTTTTCCTGGCAGAGCTGTGGCCTGGTGTGCCCCATTCCATCAGTCCCTTATGGCACAGTGCCTGGGCTGGGGGCAGAGGAGACCCACTCCTTGCTTTATTAAAGAGGGCAGTCTGGATTGAGGGCTGAGCTGTGTGCCTGAGGAAAGGCTGTGTGATGGGGGAAATAAAATTGTGATTTTTTTTTTTTTTTTTTTTTTTTAAACTGTGTGCTGTGCTGTAGAAATAGTAGCAGAAACCAGGCAACCAGACCTGGACCTGTGCCTGCCTCCACCATCATCCCGACCCCGTAGCTGGTGGGAAGAGCAGCTTCTTCTCCAGTGCCACCAGACAGACAAGAAGCTTTTCCAGCCCTTCCAGGCCAGGATTCCCAGCTGTCACCCCCTGAGAGGGGTGAAGCAGCAGCTGCCCCCATCCTTCTTGCAGGATTTAGGTACTGGGGACTGCGACGTTGCTGCAGTTTGATGTCTGAGCTCTTCCCGACTGCAAAAATGCTCTTCCAGCCTGAACCACTGGATGGGGCAGGAGGAAAAGATGTGATTTGATCTCGACCGCATTCCTCAAGACGGCTGTGTTCCCTGCTGAGCCAACGCTGGCAGCATTCCCCCCTCCTGCTCCCCACTCAGAGCGGCCAAGAAATCCTTGTGCCATAACCTGGTTTCTGCACTGACTTCAGCCACCCCAAAAATGGCAAAAGAATAAACTCGTGGAGACTGACGTCTACTCATAAACACAGCTCAAGCACCCTGGAGCCTGGGGCACTTTTAAAAACCACATGGGACTAAGTGACTTGTGCGTGGGGGGTAAAAACCCTGTAGGGCTTTTCTGTCCCCAAATAACTCAGGGTCTGAGCAAAGGGGTCTGGCCCCTTCCCTCTGTGGCTCCGGTTGGGCCCGACTAAAACGGAGACTGTAAAACCCAATTCGAGCTTTGTGATGTCTCTTCTTATGAGCAAAAACCTCATAATGAAGCTTTTAATGGCTGTTGTAAACAAATCAATATCTCCAGCTATACATCTGAAATGAAAGAGGCTGGAGGAGCTATGAAGGTTTTTTAATGTCCAAATAAATTACTCCTGCCCTGGCAATAGCAATGTGCGGAGCATTTGATTATTCCCAGGCATTAGTGATGCTGGCGTGGACAGAAATATTCATGCTCTGTATTTAACTGGAAATTAAGAGAATGTATCATTTGGTGACAGGAACTTTTACAAATGGCTGCTCCCCCTTTGATCAGCTCCCCAGCTAATGAATCACCAGCAGGACTTTGGGAAACTTGATTTACAGCTCAGACCTGCCAGTGGGTGTTTGTTTGCCAGAGGATGCGGTCTGGAAAATCCCCCAGTAGATGGAGGTGTGCTGGGATTCTCCTGCTCTGGGAGGGAGTGCTGGAGGCTCATTTAAGGTTTGCTTTGGGAGCTGGAAAAAAATCATTTAGGAGGGAAAGCCGGCTGTCTGCCCACCAGCAACTGCTGCCTGCTGTGCTGCCAGTACTTTTCCGCCTGCAGGGGCTGTGGGGAGCTTTGGGGTGACACCGAATCACAGAATCTTCTAGGTTGGAAGGGACCTTAAAGATCATCTTGTCCAACCATCAACCTCACTGACAAAAATAGACACCCACACAACAAACAAGGAGCATCATCACTAAACCAGACCTCCCAGCACTACATCAACCCGGCTTTTGAACACCTCCAGGGATGGGGCCTCAACCCCCTCCCTGGGCAGCCCATTCCAAGGGCTGAGAACACTTTCAGTGAAAAAATTTTTCCTAATATCCAGCCTGAACCTCCCCTGGTGTAACTTGAGGCCATTTCCTCTTGTCCTGTCGCCTGTGACCCGCTCCAGCACCTCAATGTCTTTTTTATGGTAGGGGGCCCAAAACTGGACACAGTACTCAAGGTGGGGCCTCACCAGTGCCCAGTACAGGGGGACAATCACCTCTTGGGCCCTACTCCCCACGCTGTTCCTGATACAGGCCAGGATGCTGGTGGCCTCCTTGGCCACCTGGGCACACTGCTGGCTCATCTTCAGCCGACAGTCGACCAACATCCCCAGGTCCTTTTCTGCTCGTGGGGGCAGAAAATGAATGTGGGGGATGTCTTGTCTGCAGGCAAATGTTGGTGGGGAGTGGGAAGTTTAGGAGAAGAACAGGGAGAAAGGAAGGGGGAGAGGGGTCCTGTGTGACCGTTGCAGCTGCTGTGACCGGCTTGAAACCTCGTTGGTCACGTCCACGGGGCCACTGAGCTGGTGGGTGGGTCCCAGGGGTGGGCTGCTGGGCCCACAACACGGGTAGCGTAGCAACGGGGATCTTCCCCAGCTGCAAGGCTTAAAAATAGAGCTGGGGAGTGTGGAGCTCACAGCCCTCTGGGGTTACTGGGACCTCTGCCCCCGGCGAGCATCAGACCTTGACTTGATGGGTGCTCGCCCACAGCCACGGGGCTGGCTGGAGGTTAGGTTTCTGTGTGGGTTGGGGACAACAACCCCCTGCAGCACCACAGGCTGGGGGAAGTGTGGCTGGAGCTGCCTGGAGGAAAGAGACCTGGGGGTTCGAGTTGACAAAGGGCTGAATATGAGCCGGCCGTGTGCCCAGGGGGGCAAGAAAGCCAATGGCATCCTGGCTTGTATCAAAAATAGTGTGACCAGCAGAAGTAGGGAGGTGATTGTGCCCCTGTACTCAGCACTGGTGAGGCCACACCTCGAGTGTTGTGTCCAGTTTTGGGCACCTCAATCCAAGAGAGATCTGGAGGTGCTGGAGCGGGTGCAGAGGAGGGCAACGAAACTAGTGAAGGGCCTGGAAGACAAATCATATGAAGAGCGGCTGAAGGAGCTGGGGCTGTTTAGTGTGAGGAAGAGGAGGCTGAGGGGAGACCTCATCACTCTCTACAACTACTTGAAAGGACACTGTAGAGAGGTTGGTGCTGGTCTCTTCTCCCAGGTAATTAGTGACAGAACGAGAGGGAATGGCTTCAAGCTCCAACAGGGTAGGTTGAGGTTGAACATTTAGGTTTAGACTGAACATTAGGAAAGAATTTTTCACCGAAAGAGTGGTCGGGCATTGGAACAGGCTGCCCAGGGAGGGGGTGGAGTCCCCATCCCTGGCTGTGTTTAAGGGCCGTTTAGATGCAGGGCTGAGGGACATGGTGTAGGGGAAGATTTTGTAGAGGAGGGGAGATGGTTGGACTCGATGATCCCAAGGGTCTCTTCCAACCTCAATGATTCTATGATTCTATGACTTCTGCATGCACCCATGTCCCCAAGCCTCTGGGGACTCTGCTGCGGTGGCTGTTGATGCCACACAAGTGATGTCATCTCTTGTTGAACTGGCGCAGCCGTCTGTAAATGACCTGTAAACTAAAGATTATCTGATAATTTCCCTGTGCTGGAGCAGACACTGCAGGAGCATTTATTAACCCACTGGTCCTATTCATACGCAGACGACTGTAGCTCATCTCAGTAATAAAAGGTGATTTAGTACCTGCTTGGCTGCTGACAGTGACTGGGAAGGTTTTGGTGTTCAGTGCAGATGCTTTTTGTAGACAGACACCCTAGGGTCAGCCTCTC